GCGCCTCGGATATCAGGAAAATGGCCCAGCGGCGGCGTTGAAACCAGCTGCGTGCGGCAGATTTGGCAACCCGTCCTTTCCCACCAGTCCTCCCCCCCCCCATTGCTGGCGGGCCTTTTTCCTGGGTGGCCAGACAACCGAGGCGACAGCGCAGCCAACGCGTGCCCGCGGCAGCATATGCACCAAATTACAAGGGAGGCGGAGGAGAAGGAGGAGGAGGAGGAGGAGGGGGAAGGGGAGGAGGAGGAGGAGGAGGAGGAGGAGGAGGGCCGACCCTGCGCCGCCTGTGGGGCCATCCCCGTTCCGCTGGCGGGCCGACCCCGTGCGCCGCGGGTGGCGCGGTCCGACACGAGACGGGGGCGACGGGGGCGACGACGCGGCGACAAAGGCGACAACGCGGCCTCCGGCGGCGGCCTGCGGCCGGCGGCAGGCGGTCGGCGGCGACCTCCCTCGAAGATCGCGCGAGCCTCGGAGCGACCTCCGACGGGGCAGTCTGGCCGCGCGGCCACGAGGAGCGCCCCGGGGCCCCGCAGACCAGCAGAGGCGCCTGCAACCCCACACCTCCAGCCTCGAGGCGGCGGCGGCGGCAGCGGCGCGAGCGGGCGGCCGCAGGCGGCCGCAGGCCCCGCGGGGCCCAGGTCCTGAGGGCCCCGGCGGCGCCGACATAGGGCCCCGCGGCGCCGCGCGCGGCAGGCGCCTTGAGGAGCTTGCCGTAGCCGCCCCCGGGCTGCTGACCTGCGGGCGGGCCTCGTCGTCGTCTCCGTGGGGAGGCTCCGCGCGCGGCGCCGTTGCCGCCGCCGCCGCCGCCGCCGCGCGTCGTCGTCGTCGTCGTCGTCTTCGACGTCGTCGTCGTCGTCGTCGTCGTCGTCGTCGTCGTCGGCGGCGGCGGCGGCGGCGGCGGCGGCGGCGGCGGCGTCTCTGGGGGGGGGACAGAGGAGGGAAAAGACACGTAAACGAGGGCGGGGAGGAAGCATTCATTCTCCGACTCGAAGAGAAGGACCAGAGTAAGCTCGACATGCATCAACGATACTTCATTACACCCTCCCGTCTCTACAAGCCGTCCGTTTCACTATCACGAGCGCCCCTTGAAAGACGAGCACCGCGTGTGCCTGCCATTCACGATAGAGCCCCGTTCATTGTCAAAATCGTCATCATCATCATCATCATCATCATCATCATCATCATCAGCAGCAGCATCATCAGCATCATCATCATCATCATCATCATCATCATCATCATCATCATCAGCAGCATCATCAGCATCATCATCATCAGCATCATCATCAGCAGCATCAACATCAGCATCATCAGCAGCTGCATCATCAGCAGCTGCATCATCAGTATGAAGATCGTCCACATCATCATCAGCATCAGCATCAGCATCATCATCAGCATCAGCATCAGCATCATCACCAGCAGCAGAATACTCATCATGATCAGCATCCTCATCATCATCATCAGCATCATCATTATCATTATCGTCAGCATCCGCATCAGCATCATCATCAGCAGCAGCATCCTCATCCTCATCATCATCCTCATCCTCATCCTCATCATCATCAGCATCGTCATCATCATCATGTCTATCATCATCGTCCTCATCTTCATCATCATCATCATGGCCATCACCATCACCATCATCATCATCATCATCAACACCACTATCATCATCATCGTCATCATCATCAGCAGCAGCATCAACATCATCACCGTCACCGGCGTCGTCATCGTCGTCGTCATCGTCAGCATCACCGTTATCATCATCACAATCAGCATCGTCATCGTCATCGTCATTATCCCCGACACCAGCAGCATCAACATCAGCACCAGCATCATCATCATCGCATCGGCATCACTATCGCCATCCTAATCATCGGCATCGCCGTCAGAATCATCACCGTCACCAATCCTCCCTACCATTCATCATGTCGTTCTCCATGCTGATCAGCCTGCTCCGTTGCCTCCATACTACCAACACTACGACTTATGAATGCGCATCCTCGACGTCCACCCTCCTCCTGCTCCGCGTGCTCCACCTCCTCACACTACTGACCTCCTTTCGTAATACGATTTCACCTTCCTGCTACGAACGTGTCGTTCTCATTGTAACTGTTGTGCCCCATCGGCCTCATAATCCCTATCATACTACGACTAATGAATCATTCATCATGTGGGCGTTGTCCCTCCTCCTCATGGTATGACCTCCTCCTCTTCCTCCTCCTGCTCGCCATGATCCTCAGGATCCTCATGTTCCTCATCGGCATCATCATCACCATCACCACCACCATCATCATCATCAGCATCGTCAGCAGCATCATCATCGTCAGCAGCAGCATCAGCAGCATCATCATCAGCAGCAACAGCAGCAGCTGCATCATCATCATCATCATCATCATCATCATCATCATCATCATCATCATCACCACCATAATCGTCAACATCAGAATCATCATCATCATCATCATCATCATCATCATCATCATCATCATCATCATCAGCATCATCATCATCATCATCATCATCATCATCATCAGCAGCATCACCGTCATCATCATCATCATCATCATCATAATCATCATCATCATCATCATCAGCAGCATCATCATCATCATCATCAGCAGCATCATCATCATCAGACTCAGTATCCTGTTCCGCCTCCTCCTCACCTTCCTAATCATCCTCACGTTCCTCCTACTCCTGCTCTGAGTCTTCCCCCCTCCTAGTGGTCCTCCGTCTCTACCTCCCTCCCGCCCTGCTCCTCCCCATCTCCCCCCCTCCCCCTACTTCCCCTCACGGCCAGTTCATCACCTCGGCCCTCCTCCCGCCTCCCGCCTCCCGCCACCTCCACATCCCCTCCTCCTCCTCCCTCTCCTCCACCTCCCCTCCTCCTCCTCTCCCTCCTCCTCTCCTCCTCTCTCCTCCACCTCCTCCTCCTCCTCCTCCTCCTCCTCCTCCTCCTCCTCCTCCTCCTCCTCCTCCTCCTCCTCCTCCCTCCTCCTCCTCATCCCTCCTCGTTGACCTGGCCCTGGCTGTGTGGCAAATCTCACGGTGATGGGCTCGCTCAGCCCCTGCACGTAATTGCCGTCCCCGTTCTCCACGAGCCACTGCGCCTGGACGGGGGCAGGGCGGGAGGGGAGGAGGATGAGGAGAAGGCAGAATTGGGAGGGATGGGTGGGGGAGGAGGAGAAGGGAAGGAAAAGAAGGAAGAGGAGGAGGAGGAGGAGGAGGAGGTCAGGTTAGGCAAAGGCTTTCACTGATGTGTGCCGAGCAACTATTCACCTGCTAGGGGGGCCCAAATGAAACACAGATTCGTGCACAATATGTCGGTGAAATCGGGTTTTGCAACCGTGCCTAAATCGGCCCTGGAGGCGAGGGAAGAGATCAAGACGATGGAGAGTTGGAACCCCCAGATCTTGGCCGTCAGGCTGTCGTTGCCCGCGGCCTGCCCGAAGATAGCCCCGAATGCGATGGGCTGCCAGACCCCGTGCACCCGCATCCGCACTAAGGTTGGCGGCTGCGGTGGCCCCGGTTTCTGGGTTGTGCCTCCCGTCGCTGTGGCAGAGGACGTGGAGGGGCTGATTCGGTAACGAATTAAGGATTGGGCTGACGCCAACAACAACTTCTCTGACCTTGCATGGCATATCGCGCCACACGGTCCGCCTCTTTGTTGAAGCACCGTCTTCTCCACTCTATCGGCTTGCCGATTTCTGTGGGCAGCCGCCATTTCCAGCCCAAGATGAGACCGAGGATCAGTTTAGACACGGCTTCCACCATATTTAGCACGTGCTGGGGTACGACATGCCGTCCAGCCAGCGCACCAGCAACGAATTCGTTGTCCACTACACTCTTAGAGATATGTTCTCCACTCTCCCACGCCAAATCTTCAGGCAGGAGCTCGGGATCCGAATCGAAGAAACTAGATCCGTGCACATCGAGGAGGAGGAGGAGGAGGAGGAGGAGGGAGGAGGAGGAGGAGGATTGGCTCAGATTCGCAATGCGGTGTAAGGACGTGCCCTCATTGGTAGAATCGCTGCACAAGGCTGAACGAATACGGGAAACCTGGCCAAAAACCCATCAGAAAGAGTAAGACCATGGTTCCGTTTACGGGAAGCGCCCTCTTGAATGACAAGCACCCGAAAGATTGCGTTATTATTGCTTCCGCGTAATAGTCATTACTCGGGGGGCCACAACGAAAGCACTTGGCGTCCGCAAGATACCCCGTATCCACCAGCCTACTCTCTGGCCAGCAGGCGGTGCACAACAAAGCAGCGCCCTTGAAGTCACCATCGTCAAGCAACGTCTTTCTTATGCTTTGACCTGAAGACGGTGAAGTCACCACCGCTGGCCAGGCCTTGTCCTCAGTAGTGCTGATTTAGCTTCTGGCCAAACAGAGGCAGAGCAGCATTGACGGACAGAGGAGGTAAGATGATGATGAACATCAGCATCCGACAGATGGAGAGAGTCACGACCTGCAACTATCCAGTCATCAACGTGGCGAGGCTCCCAGCATAAATCCCACAGCGTGACATACAGAGCAGCAACAGGGCCCCGAATATTCCTCCAACGATGCTGAGGGGAAGCTGGGCCAAGCTTGTCATGTGCCGTCCAACCCTTCATCGCACCGCCTCGAAGTCCCTCAGAAAGACTGGCACTGAGCTCAGAGATCACGGTAAGCTTTTCCACTCGAAATCGAAAGATCGGGCCATCTTCAATATCATGTAACAACGGAATACAGACGCCGTTCATACTCCCAATGGCCAGAAACCCGAACTTGCAGCCGCAAAGGAGCGGAACTTCTTGACATCACCAGGCGCAGCCCCAACACGCCAGGGCCCCAGGAGCCAACGGCCAGTGCTCCAGGGTTGAAGCTTTGCGAGATGCCCCGCGCAAGTTCTCCGGGCAGGAGAGCTTGCGAGACCGACGAAACGCGCTAGCACGACGGTGATGAATCTTCCAAGCAACTCTCATCCTACGTGCCGTGGTGGTGCCGAGATCGTTCACAGACGGCGCGAAACTGAGGGAAGCTCCGAGAGGACGAAACTGTGCCTGAACGAGCCGCTGCAGATCCAAGGATGAGGCAACTGCAGGAGCCTTGGGGCTGGCCAAGCATTCCAGATCGGAAATGCCACGTTGAAACTGCACAGCAGCACGAAGATAGCGATAGGTGTAAGCAGGAGTACCATGCAGGAACTGGGTGACATCCTCATTAGGACCTGGTGGGAGCACGACCTGGGCCTCATGGGATCCTGTTGTGAGCCTTCTCAAGGACAGCATACAGGTAGCATCCCACACAAGGCATACTCTGAATGCAGCCCGCCAAGATAGGTTAACCAGCAGCCAACACCTTAGAGACCGCCCCAGAGACCTCCATGAGCCTCGGAGAGGTGTGGATGAGGAGCCGCAAATTCGGCGGCCCAACGGGCCAAGAGGCGTGCTAAGATCTCCGGTAACTGGTTAACAATAGTTCTAGTTCGCGCGCGCGGGGCGGCCCCTGAGGGTCCCCCGGCGAAAAGTACCCAGACCGCAGCCCGACGACTGCTACCCAGAGATGGTGTTCCTCCTGGGTGTGGCTTCTCAGGCCCCCCAGAGCGCGCCAAGAGTGCCCCAAGAGGCCCCCAAGAATGCCCAAAGTGCCCCCGAGACGCCCAAAGAGCGCTCCAAGACGCCGATGATGACCCCAATACGGCCAAGAGGCCTCTAAGTGGCCTCCAAGAGGCCTCACAAGAGGGCCCCGAGAGGCCAAAATCATAAATTTTACGATGGTTGTGGAAGGCTTTGGGCCTTGTCCCCTTTTCGGCCATCCGATGCTCCAAGACGGCCCAAGAGGCCCCCAAGAGCGCCCCAAGACGGGCCAAGAGGCTTCGAAGAGGGCCCCAAGAGGGCCCAAGAGGGCCCTGAGACGGCCCAAGAGGCGCCCAAGACGGCCCAAGACGGCCCCAAGACGGCCCCAAGAGGGGCCCAAGAGGGGGACCACGAACCGAAACCTCGCGCCTTCCGCCCCAAGAGGGCCCCAGGAGGCCCCGAGAGGCCCCCAAGAGACCCCAAGATGCCGCCAAGAGGCCCCCAAGAGGCCCCAGAAGGCCCCCAAGAGGCCCCCCAGAATGCTTCAAAAATGCCTGCCAGGCGCCCCCGAACGGCTTCTCAAAAGACCCCAAGAGGCCTCCCAAAGAAGCATCTTGACGACGACCCTGTTTGGCCCCAAGAGCAACACAAGATGCCAACGAGAGGCTTCCTCCTCCGCCCCTTCCTCTTCCTCTTCCTCCTCCTCCTCCTCCTCCTCCTACTTATCTTCATCCTCCTCCTCACCACTCCTTCCCCATCTTCATGTTCTTCCTCCTCGGCGGCGCCACAATGGCCCCGGGCCCACGGCGAAGCAGTAGCGATCATGCAACATGGACTGGCGGATTGAGCGAAGCGATTGAATACTGCAGGTGTTCAGGGTATCCTTCATTGGAGGCCAAGTGGATCAACCTACTGGGGCTCACGGATGCGGGGGAAGAGGAAGAGGAGGAGGAGGAGGAGGAGGAGGAGGAGGAGGAGGAGGAGGACGACGAGGGGGAGGAAAAGGAGGAGGAGAGGAGGAGGAGGAGGAGGAGGAGGAGGGACGGGAGGAGGATTGGGGAGGGATGAGGAGGAGGAGGAGGAGGAGGAGGAGGAGGAGGAGGAGGAGGAGGAGGGAGGAAGGAGCGGGAAGAGAAGGAGGAGGCAAGAATAGGGGCAGGAAGGACACCCAGGCCGCCTCCATCAGAGAGGCCAGCTTGACGACCGCGCGCGCCCTGCCGGTGGAGTTCAGGATGCCGACCACCTTCGCCTCGGCGCGGCAGCGGCTCGGGGCGGCAGCGAAGGGGAGGGGGCCAGGGCGCTGTCCCAGCGGTGGACCCTCCCTGCTGAGCTGCGAGAGCTGCAGCACCGTTGCTCCGGCGCCGGTTTTCGGCGGCAAGCGGGGGGGGGGCCAGTGAGAATGAGGAGGCCTTCTCAGAAGGCGGCAGCAGCCCTCGGGCCTTCTGAGAAGTATTATTTGTCTTCGGGGAAGGCTTAGCCAACTTCTCAGAAGGCTGGAGGACGTCCGAGCCTTCCGAGAAGGCCCGTCCGCTTTCACTTCCCCCCCGCCCCCACGGGCGCGCCGCCGAGATTTGTCTGACGACAGCTGTGTGCCACCCCTGTCACGCATACACCACGGGATTCGGTCTGAAATCTGGCGCCAGCTTCCGCTGCAAACGTCCCACGAAAACTGGACCGCCGATTATCATTCCAGGACCGTCAAAAAAGTGGCGGCAACCCCGGGCTCCAGCAAGCCTGAGTCGTACGTCTCCCCGATTCGCGGCAACAAGAACGTTCGTCAATGACATGAGCCCCTTTTCCGAGCGACTAGGGTCTCATGGAGATACCACACACGAAGAACATTCCAAGATGGAGAGCCAAAACACGAATAACTCAAGGATGCCCCTCCCGAGCTGGCGTTGTCATCGACCCTTGCGCCAGCTGTATTTATCATCGAGACAAACACGAAGAAACGCATGCGCGAACATAATATTTCGGAGGTCCGCGCAGATATCCTGGGTTGGCGCTGGAGGCGCCGCCAGAGGGGCCCGGGGTGGCCGTGGACCTGGACTCCTCTGCGATTATCTTTCTTGCTCCTCCTGGACACAGTCTTCGAGACCCCCTGCTCATCCACGGACACCGCATCCTGTCACACCAGTGCGCCAAGGAGAGAAACCTGGCCCGCCCATGCTCAGGACCAGATTTGGCCGCCTGCGGGAGGAAGATAAGTACGAGGATGGGGAGGATCAGGCCACAACTCCGTCAACAAAATGTGGCTGCTTCTTGGACCCATGTGGCGCCAGCAGGGCGCCAGAATATGCACATTGTGGGCATGTCTCTCCAACCTGTCCTGCACTAGCCTGCACCGATCAAGAACGTCACGGCAAGAGGAATAACGAAACAGGAGTACAATAGAAAACGCAAGTGCTATTCATAGAACGAGGCGGCATTGCATTGAAATACAAGGAGCGTTGGGAGAGGAGCGGAATCTGGCATTGATTCTAGACCCCCACCACAGCGGGGGTTCTGGACTCAGCACATCCAGACATGTGCGTTGAGGGGGGTGGCACCAGGCGTAATTGTAAGAGGTTCCTGCGGAGCACATCGATCTCCGCAAACTTGCCCTCTTCGTCCTCCTTCCCCTCCTCCTGCGCCTTCTCCTCCTCCTCCTCCTCCTCCTCCTCCTCCTCCTCCTCCTCCTCCTCCTCCTCCTCCTCCTCCTCCTCCTCCTCCTTCCTCTTGCCCTCCCAGACATCCGACGCCAATTTCTGTCACTACGCGGTCCCCGGACCACTCGAAGCCATTCCTGGGACTGATTCTCCGTCACAGAAGATTCGCTTTGACCCAAGGATTCGCAAACTGCCCACCGAACGCGAGATCCGCGCCTTCGAGAGGACCGTCTCCGAGGGTCTCTCTGTAGAGGCACCTGGAGGCCCAACGAAAACCACCTCGGCCCTCTTCTGGCGACCGCCCAGGGAGGGCCAGCGAAGACGGGGTCGGAGCGCACGTAGCTTGAATCCTCGGTGATTCAGCATCGCCGACGCATCGTCGATGCATCGGCGATGCGTCGGAGACGTCTGGACGGAGAAAACATCGAGGTCCAGATCGCGACGCATCGCCGATGATGCCACGGCGCGGCGAGATGCCCCACTTGGGTGGCCTGGATCACCCTTCATCGTAAGCTCTGTGAGGGGAGTCTGCCGCCCTCTCCGCGGCGCCGTCTCTGCAGGCGTCCAGGGAGGCCTCTGGAAGCCATCGCTCCTGCAAAGCGCCCCAAGTCCTCGTCCACGTCCTCGTCCTCGTCCTCCTCCTCCTCCTCCTCCTCCTCCTCCACTCCGCCTTCCTCCTCCTCCTCCTCCTTCTCCTCCTCCTCCTCCTCCTCCTTCCTCCGCTCCTCCTCCTCCTTCCTCCTCCTCCTCCTGCTCCTCCTCCTCTCCTCCTCCTCTCCTCCTCCCCTTCTCCTCCTCCCCTTCTCCTCCCCCTCCTCCTCCTCCTCCTCTCCTCCTCCTCCTCCATCTTCTACTCCTCCCTCCTCCTCCTGCTCTCCTCCTCCTCTCCTCCTCCTCCTCCCCATCCTCCTCCTCATCCTCCTCCTCCTCCTCCTCTCCTCCTCCTCCTCCTCCTCCTCCTCCTACTCCAACTCCAACTCCAACTCCAACTCCAACTCCAACTCCTCCTCCTCCTCCTCCTCCTCCTCCTCCTCCTCCTCCTCCTCCTCCTCCTCCTCCTCTTCCCTCCTCCTCCTCCTCCTCCTGCTGCTCCTCCTCCTCCTCCGCCTCCTCGAGCCCATTCTCGACACGCGGGCCCACTTGAGCTCTCGACCCTTTACCGGTGGCTGTTCTTTCGTCTCTGCTCGTGGTCTTTTTCGATACAGAGGAAATGCAGTTTTTGGCCTGACCTAAGGAACGATAAATGAGGAACGAAGCCCCATTTGTTGTTCGAGTAAGTCTAAGAAGTCCGAAGGAACACCAGGGGGTCTCACCGGCAAAAAGGTAGCGGAACGCATGCAAACCAAAAGAACGACCGAGCCCCTTTTGAAAAGCAAGTGTTCCTTATTCATGCCGGACCCTGTAAACGTGAACGACCCACGCAGGCAGAAGACAGCGGGAGGCTAGTTTGTCAAAAGACGTCGCGGGTCCAAGAGTTCCTCCAGCTCGTACCGATTCCAACGCGGGAGTCTCTGGAGGTCTTCGAAGGTGCCTGGAGTTCCCCAGAGGCCTCAGCATGCCCCCTCCTCCTGCTCCTCGAGATCATCCTCCACCTCCTCTTCCACCTCCTCCTCGAACTCCTCCAGCTCTTGCTGAGCCCAACGCCCTCTCCACGGTGCCATACATGCCGAACACAGACCTGCGCCGCAACCCATACTATCATCGTCATCTTCATCCGCATCACCATTATGGTCGTCGCCGTCGACATCGTCATCGGCATCATCGTCAGTTGTATCGCTATCGTCATCATC